AATACAAATTAGAGGACTCATAACAGCATTCCTTTTTAAATAGCTGCCTTTAAACCCCATGAAAGGGATAAAGGAATTTGGCTAGCATGCCAACCCAAAAATCCTCATGTCATCCCTCTAATAACCATGTCAGGGGTTTCACTTGCCAACTTTAAACCCTCCCAATGACAAAGTTTATCTGTGGCCAACACAAGACTAAGGCTTCTTTATCTTCAAAGAGTAATTCATACAGTCAGTGTTATCTCACTGAATTATGGATCCATATCGCTAATTCTACTATCCCCCAACATTTTAAGTTAGTTTAACAATATTACACTCCTAATTGTCTGGACACAATACAATGATCATGTATGACATTCTAATACAACAAATAGTCTCTTCCTTCCTATTCAAACCATACAAATCCTACTAACCAAATCAGCTGTCCCAATAAAGGATCTGAAATGGAAGAAAAGAAAAAAATGAGGGTATTGAAGTATATTTTAGGGTCATGTGCAAGTGGAAAAAGAAATTACCACTTCAGAATAGGGATTTGAACTTGAGCAATTTCCTATGCTAAGCCAGGGAAAAGACACAGCCACCAGCAATGTACAAAGGGGGAATGTCCAAGGTGCTTGAAATTCACCTGTTACTTGGTTAAAATACAAATGTTATCTGGGAGGGTGGGCAACAAACATCTGGGCTCAAAAAGAAGGTAGGCCCAAAGTATCTTCTAAGAGTGGGCCTATAGCAGTCAGAGAAGAGCATAACATTGAACAGAATAAGATGATAAAAGGTAAAAGGAAATGATGGAAGTTTGTAGATAAGAAACTTCCCAATTCTGTCAGCTTCTAAACTAGTAAAGGTCAAACAACCACTTGGCTCAAGATTTTGTGAAGGCCTCAAATTCAGCCTTTCCCTTCCCAGAAACAGATTATGAAAGTCCCATAGCACAATCAAGTGTCAGCAGACACCAGGAATTAGACACCATGCATTTTAAAAGACCAGAATTCCAAATTTCAGCCTAAATCTTGGGCAAATTGGCCCTGTTAATTCAATTTAATTTAATTTGACAAAATGCATGTATATTAAGGGTCTGGCATAGACAAACTCTCAACTTCATTATACCGAAGGAATTACAGTTCCAGAACAAATAACTAAAGACTAAGCTTGTACTATATGGAAGTCAGAAGCCAGAAGAAAGGAATACAAACATCTTCCTCCTTCCCAAAAAGTTCCTGATTCTAATGTGCTTGACTTCCACATCTGTGTCTGCTTCCCTGACCACTCTTCTAAACTCCAAGTTTCTACCTCAGTTGTCTACAGGACAACTCCAAGTGGATGATCCCACCACCAGATCTTCAAATTCAACCTGCACAAAATATAGTTTATTATCCTTTCCTCAGAATTGGCTCCTTTTGACTACATTATTTCTATTAAGTAGCACAACCATTCATCTAGTTTCCCAAGTTTCCAACTTTGGTGCTAACTTTAACTCTTCCTTCTCTCTCCCATTTCATATGTAATCTGTCGCCAATTCCCAAGGATTGACATCAACTCCATAATATTTCACACCCATCTCTACTTTTATGCTCATCAACAGCCCCACCCTAGAACTGCATTTCATTACCACCCACCTAAAATACTGCAACAGAACAGGTCTCGACTCCATATCACCTTAGTGTCACTGATAGATTAATCTTCATTAAGCATAAATCTGACCCTATCATCTATCTGCTCAAAAAACTTTAGTGGCTCCATATTACTAAATAATATTTTAACATTTTTGCCTGGTATTCAGAGTGCCCCACAATCAGGCATCCCTTCACCTTTCTAGGTTTATTATACTCTACTTTATATATTCTAAGACAAATTTTTGTCTTCTGTCTGTCTCTTTCTTGATACTGTTCCCTATGTCACGAATGACCTCCCTTTCCCTTTGCTTGTTGTATACCTAACCACCCTTTAAAGTCCAATTCAATGTCCTCTCTCCAACCATCTCTATGTGCCGCCCCTATGCGGCCCACCCCGGGCCCTGGGGTTGTAAATAATCTTCTTCAGACCTCATAGAACACTTTGCTTAGTACCTCTGTAATGAATTTACGATAAAATGTTTTACATTATAGATCAACAGTTTCCCATCCAGGGGGTGGCAATCATTGCAAAATAAATATACCTAATGTAGAGTGAATATGAATATGTCTTCTTGACCCCTTACAATCTGGCTTCTGACCTTATCATTCCACTGAATCTTCACTCTTCAAATTACCAATGATGGCTTAGTTAGCAAATCCAATGGCTTTTTTTCTGTCCTCAACCTTCTTGACCTCTCTTGAGCCTGTGACATTGTTGATCACTCTCTCCTCCTTGATATTCTTCTCTCTAGGTTTTCTCTCTCTTGAGTCACTTCCTATGTGTCTGACTGATACTCCTCAGTCTCCTTTGCTAGGTCACACCCTCTAACACCATAGGTGTCCTATATGTCTGTGCCAGACCTCTTCTCTTCTATCTTTATACTATATTCCTCGGTGATCTCATCAGTCCTATGGATTTAATTATCATCTCTATGCTGATCATCTACCCATCCTGTTCCAATCTTTCTGCTGACCTCCAGTTTCAGACTTCCAACTGTCTTTCAGATATCTCAAACTCAACATGTCCAAAAACTGAACTCATTATCTTTCCCTCTAGAACCTCCCCCTCCTTAACTTCCCTATTATTGTCAATGGCAACACCATCTTCCCAGACCCCCAGGCTCATACTCTATCAACTTCGACTCCTTACTATCTGTCACTCCCCTATATACAATCTATCGTCATGGCCTGTCAATTTCAGCTTTGCAATATCTCTGGATTACAACCCCTTGTCTCTTCTGGATACTGCCACCAACCACCCTGGTACAGGGCCTCAATATCTCACTCAGACTACTACAAATGACTGCTGGTGGGTTTACCAGCCTCAACTCCTGCCTCACTCCAATCCATCCTTCATCCAGCCCCAAAGTTACTTTCCTAAAGCATAGGTCCAACCACGTACCCTTATATATTCAATAAACTCCAGTGGTTCCCTATCATCTCTAGGATCAAGTATAACATCTTTTGTATGGCATTCAAAACCCAGCCCTCCAACCCCTTCCAGTCTTCTTATATTTTCCTCCTGGACACATACTCTTTGATCCAGTGACGCTCTCCTCTTGGATGTTCCATAAACAAGACCTTCCATACCTCAGCTCAGGCATTTTCCTATGACTGGAATGATTTCTCTCTTTATCTCCACCTCCTGGCTTCAAGTTAATCAATCAATCCACATTTATTAACTATCTGCTATTTGCCAGGCATTATGCTAAGTGCTGAGTAATAAAAAGAGGTAAAAGATAGTTCCTACCCTCAAGGAATTCACAATCTAGAGGGAGGACAACACACAAATATATACAAAGCTACATACCAGAAAAATAAGAAATAATTAACAGAAGGAAGGCACTAGATTTAAGAAGGGTTGAGAAAGGCTTCCAGTCAAAGATGGAATTTTAGTTGGGCCACAAAGCTCATCCTTCAAGTCTTCCTTATTCCAACCCAGGCCAGCAGTCTATGCATTGTACCACCTAGCTGCCTATATTGATTTGCCTTTCAAAATGGCCAATATTAGAAGCACATGTAAGATGGTTGAAGAACAATGGCCAAATAATGCTCACAGTGATGGTGAAGCAGTCTAGGTATGGTGATGTGGGGTTCTGGGGGTTCTTTCCTCTTACCTTTGCTGCACATGCACCTGGCTATTAGGGGAAGCTACCAGAAGCATCAGTGGCGTGTCTGTGTTATCTAGGTGTACATATAGGTCCTCAGTCATATTTATGGCATCCCAGAGATTAAACACAACACGTGATATAAAATAAATATGATTCAAAAATTTGTACCTTAATTCTAAAGTAAAAATTTCATGTTGAGTATCAGTTTCTTTAAAAAATTAGAAATGAATGAAGATTCCAAATTCAAATATTCTACATGATAATATGCTAGGCGGTACAAGGAATAGAACACTATACCTGGAACCAAAAGACCTGTGTTCAAATGGAGCATTAGACATTGACTAGCTGTGTGGTCCTGGGCAAGTCACATAACTGCTATCTGCTTCAGTTTGCTCATCTGTAAAATGTGGATAATAATAGTACTTACCTCCCCACACCACTCCAGGGTTGGTTAGGGACAAAATGAGATAGCTTTGAAAATATTAAAGGACTATATAAGTGCTAGCTATTCTTTTCCTAATTGAGTTGGCAGAAAGTTATTTTTTTCTTGAAAAGTTATGAGAAAGATTAGTTGAATAACTGAACTTAGTATATATATTACACGCAAAAAGCAAAATATTACTTGAATGTAAATACTAGCCATCTGTGTAGCAAGATGAGATTTTTCAAAATTCAAATAACAAAATACTGTCATCCTAAGTGTATGGTGTTATTTTCTTTTCTAGATGGTAATATCAAACTGCATTTTGGTTTTGAACCATTAAAATATTATAGACCCCAATCTATTTTCATTAAAATAGGTTGAAAAAATATAAGTATACATCCTCAATACAAGGCTCTTCAATACCAAAATACTGATAGCATGAAATATGCTTGCAAATAAACATGGGCCACCAAATTTATATCAGTCTCACATATTTATTAATATCCCTTGATCCAACGCCTTTATTCTAATAATTTCCATCTCACTGGGTTAAAAGCCACATAATCACATTGAAAACATATAACACTCCTCTACAACAAATTTTCATGAAAATCCAACAAAAAAGTAGAAACAAGATAAAATACCACATAGTAAATTTCCTTTAAGCCACGTGCCAACACTTATTTTTTAGCCATTCCAGTCGTTTTAAAAGTTTTTTCTTTAGTTCTCAATTAGGTATTGTCCACAGTACCTATGCATCTTGGTGAAAAGCATGGTCATGCTTGAATGAAATTAATACAGTGAAGTTAACTGACTTTTAATAAAATTCTTCTATCCAAAAATAATGCTTACCTGTCTGAACATCAATAACCATTTGATGTCCACCTCTCATTCCCGGTCTGCTATCTTCTCCATCACCTAGGATGATAAATAAAATCAACAATGTGAAAATCCTTTCACTTGATTTTAAAAGAACAAAAGGATACTTTTTACAGGTAGGCACAAACAATGCCTTATAGAAATTTGCCTACACTGTTTCCTTAGAAACACTCCAAATAAGAACAGTGAACAAACAAATCAACATAAGGTTGCTGTTGTCTTAAGATTCCCTGTCTGTCTATTTTCAAGGCATTATTGTCACTGTAGGCCATTTTCTATTTAAGATTAATTTCTACAATACTTCAGATATATATGCAGTCCTCCAAAACTTGGGTCAAATTCTCCAGTCTAAATAAAAGGAAAAAATATAACAACATGATTATAATTATGAATCATTGTCATTATGAACTGTCTATAATAGGGTTTTACGGATTTTTTAGGGGAATATGGGAAAATTAGCAGGTTTTTAAATTTTCAGAACACAGTACAGTTAACTATTAGAGCCAAGATGTTATAAAGATAAGTGCTTTAAATTTTCCATCAACAATACTTACTTTGGTGGCAAAAAAAATTCACCATTCATTCCATTTCACCATCAATTTAAGAACTATACTTGATTTGATTAGTCTTCAAATAAAGTCACTGACAATTGCCTCATTATGGCGTGAAAACGCCCTTGGGTTCTCAAAGCCAAAGCTAACAGAAAGGATACTTTAGCAGATCCTACCAAAAGCTAAGATAAATAGGTTCCATGACTGAATGTGTGTTTGTTCCAGGTAATTTTTCCTTCAATCACTAAAACTTCATATGAAAACAATCTACTAAATCATGGAGAAACTGTAATCTGGGCTAAGCAATGAAGTCATAAATTCATGACACACTTAATTATCTAAATAGTAAGATGTAAAATAATGAACTTTGTTCCACTGTGATTTTTATGCTCACCACTAAGCTTACTGGGAAGGTTCAAACATATTGACTGAAATACTTCTCCATGAGGATATCACTGGATAGATGAAGGGAGAAGAACATAATTGGAAAAGAATGTGACATAAAAACAAAAGGCAGCCCATTAACTGGGGAATGGTTTAATAAATTGTGATCCATGAATACATTAGAATGTTACTGGATTATAAGAAACAATAAACAAAGAGAATTCAGAGAAACACAGAAAACTTTAGATGAATTGATACAGAGTATAACAAGTAGCATCAGGAAAACAATATAATATGAAAACAATATCAAGGAAAAGGAAAAGAAAAAAAAGGAACACCATAATTATATTGACCAAGTTTGGTCCCAGAAAAGAGGTGAAAAAATATATGACTCGCTGAGTTATCAGAGGAGAAAAAGATAGATAAAATCAATGTGAGGTAGAAAGAAGACTTATCAATAAAAATATAATGAACAAAAAAGGCAATAATAAAAACAAGATGAAACATTTTAAAAGGACAAATATTTCTTCAAGAGAAGGACAAATAGTACTACTCACTGCATGTATTTTAGATCTAACCTCAATAAATGCAATCTTATATAGATGAAGACATAATGTCTATTTCAATGAGTCAAGAGATTAGTCTTTGACTAAGAAGCCAAAAGATTAGGGTTCTATTTTCAGCTCATACAAAAATTTAAATATATTATTTGACAAGTAAGAGTCCCCAGTTTCAGCTTTTTAGTGACTATATGTGTTTCTCATCTATATCACAAGAGGTAGTAGGCAGAAGGATGACATGTCAGTTTATAATTCCTAAGAAATAAGATAGGTGATTGAAAAAAGTCAGACAAGACTTCTATTCGAGGTTGATCATCCACAAGAGATTCACTTTTCTTTCTCTTTTCTACTGACCAGTTTTTAAGGATTCTTCATCTCACTACACTGAAAAAGCCAAGAAAAGATAATGAAAGTAAAATTTCAATTGGTTAGTTTTTCTATCTTTGGTACAGGATTGGCATAGAAGTGACTGGAAAAAAAAACTTAATAAATTTTTTTTTGTACTGTCTATGAATTTCATTTGTTTATGCTACTCCTATGGTCTAGTAGTCTGTAGGAAGCTTTTGTTTTAATTATGGGATAAATGAGTATATACACTGGTACAACAACGCAACAAAAAAGACTTTAAATAAATCCTTTACTAGCATAAAAAAAGATAACATACTTGGCTAAGCACAAGGTGGAGGAAGACTAGTACCTTTTTTGCCCCATACAGTTAAAATCCTACTGTTACTATTTATGTTCTAGGAAACTCTAGTGTAGCAAAGCTGCAGAGAAAGTTGCACTAAACAAAAGCATTTAAATTCTGAAATGTCTGACTCACCTTTGGTGCTTTTGGGGATGATCTGACTCCATCGTGGCTTATATTCCTGTTGACTGATATACTGATTGAACAAACCATCTGCAAATGTAAAAAAAAAAAATTCCTCTTAACTTGCTTATACTTTTGTGTTATTGTAGCAGAAAAGATAGGATTTTATAAGCCTGTATTAAGCAAAATTGCTATTTGAGATTTTCTCCCCAGGAATACATAATATAAAACATATAACATGTCAGTCAATTTAGTGGCATATTTTCACAAAACATGTCTCATTTCATTTTCCATGCCATCCCAAATAAAATGGTACTACATTAGTTGCCATAATCATTCAAAAACTTTGCTTGAGTGGCAGCTCATATCAAAGTTGGTACGCATCTCATTACTGTGGCACCTGTTAGTTACAAATATGTTGCCACATTTAAATCAGAAGGAAAAGGACAAGTATGATCAAACAGCAAAATGGTCTAACAGCCATTCGGAAAGGAGAGACAGATATAAATGGGGGGTTTGGGTGGGAAAAAAACAGTATTATGCCTAGAGTTGCCAAACAGAAAAAGGAAAAAAACTTAGAAAGCAATTATGGATAATCTGAATAAATACCCTATTGCAACAGATACCTGGATTAAGTTCTAACATGATTTTCAGTCTCAACAAAAACATAATCCATTGGGATGGGGAAGGCACACTTGTAGAAATTACTAGAAAAACTTGACTGAGATATTTCAATGACAACTTCTTGGTTCCCTTCCTCATTGCTAATATATTTTTTCTAATCAAGTTACAGATTATATCCAAACAGAAATATTGCCAGCTGTGACCCCCCCCCCAAAAAAAAGATGTGGCATACTTCAGACAGAAGGCCACACAGAGGTCACTGGATTATAACTGGAAAGGGACTGAGAGATCCTTTAGTCTATACACAAAGAAAATGAGATCTGAAGAAATTACAGATCTCTGAGCAAACTTACAAAGGTAATAAATAACAGAACCAGAATTTGAACCTTCTGAGTTTTCTGACTCCAAACCCAATAGCTAAAACTTCTGAGTGTTTTCTGTAATGTTATTTATTACTTATGTGACCTTCTGTAAGTTACTTCTCTCTGGTTCATAATTTCCTCAATTCTAAAATGAGATTCATTGGACTAGATGAACGTAATGATTTCTGGCTTTGAATCCTGTGGAATCCAGAATTCTATATATAATACTCAAAGACAGGACCAATCAATAAATATAACATTTTAAAATATTTAATTTATGACCAATGTGGAATCGAGGGACAAAGGGAAAGAAATTCAGACAAGTACCATAAAGCACAGAATCCAAGTTCAAAGTAACTTTAAGAGATCATCTAATAGACAAGTTCTTAAGCTTTTTTTTGTCATGTTCTCTTTGGCAGTGTGGTGAAACATACTGATCCCTTCTCAGAATAATATTTTCAAACACATGAAATAAAATACAAAGGACTGCAAAGGAAATCAATTATAGTGAAATATGGTAATATCAAAATATTAAAAAGATAAATTCACAGAACTCAGGTTAAGAATCTTGATCTAATCCAATCCCTGTTAACAATTGGGGAAATAAAGGTGAAGAACATAGAAACAGCCAGCCAAATAAGCCAAACAGAAGGCAGGCAGAGGAGGAGTGAATTACAATGGGAACAGAGAGGGAAAAAGACATTTATTCAAGAATACAATTTATACAAGAATAACAAGCTGCCAGACTTCAGGGTCACATGAACAAGAAGATGGTAAACTAAGCATTTTCTTTGATATCCACAAACTCTCAAACTTCTCCAAAACAAAAATTATACACCAAAGATTAAGCAACTTCAGCTATTTCCATAGTTTAGGACACCCAGAATCCAAAAGAAGATTAAAAGAAAAAACCCTGGAACTAAAGCTCACTGACCCTGAGCTCATTCTATAATCCTTCCCAACTTTCCACACTACCAACAAGGCTACACTAGCAGACCCAAGAACCCAACACAGGCTTACCTCAAATCCCATTTCTACACCCCAGTGCCTCTAACCCTCTTTCCAGTGCCATGAAGATCCTAGATCTAAGTCTGCTCTGGCTTCAGTAGGCAAAAGCCTTCCAAGGGCTGCAACCCAGATGCACCAGTGCTGCAAAGCAATGAACTTCAGGTGCTGGAGAAAAACAGGCTCTGAACTGCTGGTGTCAAACCAGAGAACTGAGGGAGTGGGACAGGCCACCAGGATAGGGCAGTGTGCGTGTGGGAAGTTTTGCAGCACTCCACCAAGCCTGAAGGAAAGAGCACAGAACCCAGCTGGGGCCATTTATGGCTACCCAAAGATTATATCCAAACAAAAGTATTGCCACTTGTGACAAAAAAGCTACAGGATACTCCTGACAGAAAACCACATATAAATCACTAGATTAGAGCTGGAAAGCTACTCAGAGATCCAACAATCCATTCCCCTCATTCAATAGGGGCAATATTTTTGCAGAAGGGAAGAGATGTAGGCTGGTGTACTGTGAATTGCCCCATGTGGGAAGACATTGATACCATAATCAGAGGGAAGGAAGTCAGGGAGTAAGTGATAAAAGAAAATAAGGTGGAAAAAAAATACTCAAAGTACCAAAGATTTCAGGGAAGAAGAAATTTCAAATACTTTCAACTTACACAAAAAAATCAACAGGAAGAAGAGTAACAATATAAGGAAATACAACCTCAGATCTAGTAAATGAATTTGGGCATCTATGAATAAATACTGCAAAATAAAGGAAAATAATTCAATAGTTGAGGAGATCGAGGACCCTGTAAAATTTGAGAACATGCAACCAAAACACACTGTTCCTGAATGGTTTAAAAGAGAAAAGAGAATTATGAGAGCAGAATGTATACCTTGAACAATAAAAATAATAAGCAGAATGGAAAAACTTAAATCTGCAATGGCAAACCTCACCAGAGAAGCAAAAGAGAGAACAAATTGGGAATTCAAACACACGGAACGGAAGGACATTCTAGAAGGGGAAAAAGCAAAAGACATTAACAGTAATAAAAATATGACCACTATGCAAGCAAAACCTACTAATCTTGAAAATACAATGTGTAGAGACAACCTAGGGACCATAGTTCTCCCAGAAGAACACTGCAGGACAAAAAAAGTTAGCACCATAATGAAGCAAAAAAACAGAAGGGAACTGTCCAGAACTTCTCAATGTAGATGGATGAAATTCCAATTGAAAGAATTCACAGATCATTTTCAGAAGGGGGAAAAAAAAATGCTGCAAAGTCCAAGATATAGAATGGTTAATTTAACAATTCAATTCAGAAACTGAATTCAGTTCTGCTAGCCATCAGGAAAAAGACCTTCAAATACAAGGAAATGACATTCAAATAATACAAGACTATTCCACACCCACTGGAAAAAGGAGGAGGAATGGAATAGGTGTTCTAAAGAGCACTGAAACTAAGGATACAGCCCAGAGTACCCTATAATGTAAATCTGAGTTTAACTATAGTGGACAAAAGATGGATGTTCAATAACAAAGAAGAGTTTGAAACACTTTTAGAAAGAAAATCAGAAATGAAGAGATGAGTTGCTTCACAAATACCATATGCAGGAGGAGTGAATAGATCAGTAAGAGTTATTCCTCAATGTGTGTGTGGAGGTAGAGGGGGGTGCCTCAGATGTGAAGGTGGAAATTTGGTAGAAATAACAGTGAAGAGGCAGATAAGGCACATTATGGATAGAACCTAGTAACACCCTGCCTATAGGTGAATGCTTCTTTTGTGGGAATACAATAGAACATGGGAGGATGCATGAAAGGCAGGGAGAAAACAATGGATAGAGAACAGTGAGAAGTTCAAAGTCAAGTCAAGATCTAATCTAGCAAAGAGGGAGGTGAAGGTGACCTCTGTGGTCTCAGAAAGAGAAGCACCTGAAGTGGTTGAGCAGGGGAGAAAGACTGAAGTGGGGGGCAAAGAGTACTTACTGTGGAGGTGGGAGGGGGTTTCACAAATGAATGGTGAAGAGAGATGAAGACCTTATACTGCATGAAGCCTGGGGGATTTAGTGCTTGAAAAGTCTACTTGTTGTGGGAGGGGAAGGGGAAGTTGGAAACTCTGTGGGCACCTGGCACCTGAAGGAGTGCCAAAAAAAGAGCATGGATGGACACAGGGAGCTTCTTAGGCAAATGTAGGGGAAAAGGCAACAAGAGAGGGTAGAGATCAGTGATAGCAGACAAGCCCTGCCATGGAGAAGTGTCTTCTCTAACATCTACAATAACTGGCATTGTTCTGAGAGTGAGGTACAATGAGAGTACAATGGAAAAAGGAAATCCAGAGGGTAAGCCCTACAAGGCAATAGGAGAAAGCCTGAGATGGATATCTTGGAAACTTTGACTGTATGAAGAAACGAGAGAAAATGGAGAGACCAAATGATTACAGGGGTCATAGATCAGAGAATGAGGATCTAGAGTAAACAGAAAGAGAAGATAAAAAATGAAGAGCATAAGAAATCCTTATTGGAAAGGGGCACAAAAAATTTTAAAAACTAATGAAAAGGACTGGCAAGTAGAGGGAGAAGAAATGGAAGCAGTGTTAGATTTTATATTCTTGGGCTCAAAGATCACTGTAGATGGTAACTGCAGCAATGAAATTAAGACACTTGCTCCTTGGAAGGAAGCTATGGCAAATCGAGAAGCACACCAAAAAGCAGAAACATCACCTTGTCAACTAAGGTCCACATAGTCAAAGCTATGGTTTTTCCAGTACTGATGTATGGCTGTGAGATTTGGACTATGAGGAAAGCTGAGCACTGCAGAGTCAACACTTTTAAGTTGTGGTTCTGGAGAACATTTTTGAGAGTCCCTTGGAGAGATTAAATCAGTCAATACTTAAAAGAAATTAATTGAGGCTATTCACTGGAAGGTCAAATACTGAACTTGAAACATTTAATTAAATACCTTGGCCACATAATGAGAAGATGAAACTAACTGGAAAGGACCTTGATGCTGGGAAAGACTGAAGGCAAAAAGAGAAAGGGACAGCCGAAGATGACATAGATAATGTCATGGAAAAAACAAACATGAATTTGGACAGACTTTGAGAG